AAAAAATAAAATATTAAAAAAAAAAAAAAAAGGAAAAAAAATAAATAAATTGAATAAAAAAAGAAAAAAGACAATACCCGCGAATAAAAGAAATATATACATGCAAAACATATTTATAACAACGTTTTTTCGACGGTGGGGGGGGGGAACGAGGAGGGGGAGGGGGTACATTTTCCACGATGTGTCGCGTATCGCGCGGAACTACATGCATGAGTATGTGCATATGTGTACGTATATGTGTATGATTACATATAAATACTCGTATAACGTAACACATACGTAGAATCGAAAACGAGCGAAGTTTCGCGGATGGTAGACCGCGTTGAATCGGCACGAAAGCCGATTTCGAGGAGCGACGATTACCGGAGCTTTTTCCATCCCCCTACCCCATTCCCACCCACCCTATCTATCCCCCCCCCGAAACACCGTAACTACCGCTTTTCTTTCCCCCCCCGCAACCCTCAGTATTTTTTGTATTTTTTATTTTTGTTTTTGTTTTTTTTATATATCCAATGCCGTTGCCAACGGTGGCGATAGCAAATTTTTGTAATATCCGAGAGAATTCGCGGTGCGCGGTTCGAGTTGAAAACAAATCGTTCGTCCCTTCGAAAAAGAAAAAAAAAAAAAAGAACGTTTTATTAGAGGTCCCAACCGACCTCCTACTCCTCCTCCTCCCACCCCTATTTTCCTCTCCCTCTTCCCACCTCAGTTTGTGTTATTCCGAATTAATATCGGGCTTTCAACGATCGCGTGCTGCAACCTCGCCTACGAGGCAACATATTTTTTTATACATATCTATACATGCATATATATATATTTTTTTTCTTTATTTCATTCATCATTTTCCGTCGTTGCTCTTTGTTGTTGTTTTTTTAAATTTAAATTATTCTCTTGCTATTCGACGTGGTTGTTATTCTTGTTAAAAATATTGTATATAAATAATAGGAGAAAAAGAGATGAAGATGGAGAACTAGAAGAAAAAGAAGAAGAAGAAGTGGAGAAGGTGGAAGGAAAAAATATGTACGCGTGCAATTAATTTCGATGAATAGCAGCTTAACGCTGTTATCGCACCTTAGAATCGTTGTAAACGCAGCAGCCCCCTTCATTTCTTCTCTCTCTCTCTCTCTCTCTCTCTCGATAATTCTCTTTTTCTCGGCCTATACTCAGGCGTCCGAGCGATGAAGAAACGAAGAAACGAACGAATGAACGAACGAATGAACGAATGAACGAATGAACGAACGAACGACCCCAAAATTACGCGTCGCGTATTCGCACGCGTGCAGATCGCGGTCGGCGCGCGAAAAGGGGCCGTCCCTTATCGATTCGAAACGATTTTAGAGGGTGGTTTTACCCCTCGACGTTTTTGATTTCGGCACGCAGCCTCCGAACGTAGCAGAGAACGAACCAACGAACGAACGAACGAACGAATGAACGAGTGAGAGAGAGAGAGAGAGAGAGAGAAAGAGAGAGAGAGGCTAACGCTTCGCCGCTTCGAATTAAGGGGTGAAGCCGAAGGAAGAAGGGCTGCTTTCCCTCGAGGCTCGATCGTCGACGTAGACGAGGATGGGAAGATGCGAAACTGGAAAGAACAAGAGAAAAAGAAAGAGAAAGATAAAGATGAAGAGAGAAAGAAAGAAAGAAAAAGAGAAGAAACGAATAGAGAGGGTGGAAGATCGAGTTCGACTCGTTTGTTTTGTGTTTATTTTGTATATCTCGAAATCCCGTAGAGAAGACACACCCCTCGTGGAATCCCTTCATCCCTTTGCTGCCCTGATCAAATTCAATGAATATGCCTCGGATAAAAGTTTACAAGGATACACGCAGAGAAAACGATCCTACTTTATTCATTTCTTTTCTATATCTCTTTGACAACGATGTTTGTCGAATAATGAAAATAATTGTTTTATAACTTTATACCGATTCATCCGAACGAACGAACGAACGAAATCTTTCACGAGTGTTTGACAATTTGAAGCAAAATGAAAACACATACATACGCAAACGACTTGTCCGTATGCGTGTGACCGCACGGAAACCGAGTGAATGAGTTTTCTATTTACCGTTAATAAATAAACGAATGTGAATTATCGAGGCGTACGCGAAACAAAGCCGGGGAAACTGGTTCGGAATCGGTAACACACTCTTTGCGAGTTGTATCGCAAAGCGATACGGGTATCCAGTTTAACCAGGCGCATTCGTTTCGGTATCTAAACTCGGTTATCGGATTAAATAAATCCTTATCTAGCGGCAAAGTAAAAAGAGAGATAGAGATAGAGAGAGAAAATGAGAGAAGGGGGTGGACGTAGGGGTAAAGAAACTTGAAAAAAGAAAGAACGTACACACATACACCGGCGTGGCCGTGTTTTGCATTCTCCGACGGTCGAACGTGTAACGCGCTCGCCGAGATAATCATGGTGGTGATGGTGATGGTGGTGTATGATCCTGTGCGGGCGCGCACACCTCGTTTTTCGTCGACTCCCTTTTCCTGCCCCCCTCCCTACTATTTTTCTCTCTTCCTCCGTTCCGTTCTAGCCCCAGAGCCCTTTTGCTAAACGTTCGCGCTCTCGAATGTCAAACATTTTGGCCTCCCACGCTGGCAAAGGCGACTTTCACGGTGTCGTTTAACGACACGAGACTCTCAAACGAGTACCACACCACTACCTGCCTATTTTCATTGAACTCTTCTGGCACGCGCGTACGCACGCAGGCACGCACGCACGCTCCATTTCACGGCAATTAGGTACGACTCGGTATCGACGTAACATAGTACGGCGGATTTATCGGATATCAAAGAGAAAAGTCGGATTAACGTTGTTTTCATGATACAAAAGAAAAAAAAAGCGATAGAAGTATTCGTTAAGGGAGAATTCGTATTCGTAAAGGGGAGTAGGGGGGAGGCTGTTAAATGTTAAAATCCCTGTTTAAAAGAAGAGAAAAATGAAATGTAATATCGGTGATTGATGCCGACCTTTGCACTCGTTGGCATCCCTCGCAGTAGCCCTGGCCCAGGGACGGTCAAAATGGAATGGCCGACACCTCTCGCAATCTCTACCGGCGGTGTTGTGCTTGCACTCGCAGACGACCTCGCCGTCCTTGCCGGGGATGCACCTTGCCGCGTGGCCGTTGCACTTGCACCTGCCGCCCACGGCGAAGTCCGAGACGGCGTAATGATGCGCGAGGGTCCCGGTACCGACGACGCTCAATCCACCAAGATTGCTGGTAATCGTTGTGGTGGTCGAGGTGGTGCCTATGCTGCTGCTCGTGCTCCCAGTCACGGGAGCTACGAAGCTCATGTCTTGGGGATCGAGTGCGTCGTTCGATTGCATTTCGCGTGATCCCAACATTTGATGGGAATGAATGGAAGAGGGTAATGCCGTGACGAAACCATCGACGACGCCGCCGTGCAAAAGGTTGCTCTTTTGATTCTTCAATCTTTCCTCGCGTTCTCTCTCGCGTTCCCTTTCCCGTTTGGCGAGTTCCTCGACCCCGAGCCCGACGTGCTCGTCGACGACTCCCAACTGTGAGACTTGATCTTGACTAGGCTGTTGTGGCATGTGAAGTCTATTGAAGACAACCCTGACGTCGGTCGCGGTAACCCAATCTTGGAGAACCGGAGAATTGTCAAAATCCGCCGCGGATGGACGACCTTCCAATGTGCTAAAGGCTATCCGACCGACCGGTCCAAGACCATCGCCACCCGTATAACGATGGCTGTCCGTGCATCTGGCCTCCTGCTCGTTCGCCTTCGTGATCGTCGCCCTGTTTGGCCTACCGTAGACCCGCCGGCACTGGGACGAGTAGAATTGAAAGGGCTGCCAGGTCTTCCCGTAGTCCATCGACTTGTAAATGGCGATCGAGTCGGGCTTGGCAGCGCGCGGACAAAATTGTAGGCTCACGTAAGTTAGCTCGTATTTCTTACCGAGGGACAGGGTAAGCGTGACGTTGTCTGGCGGCGCTGAAAAACTTTGCGAGGTTACGAGGGGCTCGCTGCGCCAGCACGTCACGTTGTTCGGGTTGTTAAGGTCGGTCAGATAACTAGCCGGGAATCGTCGTCTAGGCGTGCTGTCGTCGCAAATGTGACACTGTCCGATACCTATCGATCCACCTGGTTGCTCATTGACGTCGCAATATCTCGTAGGACCACCGCTCCCACAGGTAGAGGAAGCCTCGACCGCCGCACCGAACGCGGCGTTTACGAAATCCGGGATGCACCTTCTCGGCCTGTCCTCGTCGTAACAAGGATCCGAAGGGTTTTGTTGACTGGAGAACATCTTAGCGTATATTTCTCCACCCGCTGTCGAACTTCTAGTTTGGACCAATACCAAACCGCAAAGCGCGGCTAGGATCCACGAGGATCCTATCGAAAGCATCGACATTATTTTTGATTTGATTTCAGATTTGATTTGATATTATATTTTATATTGTATTTATTTTTCCCCTGTTTTTTTTTTTTCTTTCGATTTCACGAAGAATCAGGAAGAGATCCTCTCGATGTCTCTTACCGCGGAGCAAGCCCTTTCACGCTTCCTCCTCGTTCTTACCCCGAACTCTGACCCCTTTTGCGAAAGGGAGGGAAACGAGAGGGAAGGAAATGACGTCGAACCCTTTTCTATCTGCTCTCTCTCTCTCTCTCTCTCTCTCTCTCTCGCAAACACCTTTTCTTTTACATCCTTCTCGTCGTAGTACTCGTCGTCGTTGTCGTCGTCGTAGTCGTTTTATTCGTAATCGTAGTCAACGTCGTCATATCGACACGCTTTCGATGAGAGAGAGATCCTTCTTGTATTTTTCCTCTTACTCTTCCTTCTTTTTTATTATACCCCAATCGCGTAACCGAAAGACGATTTCAGATTCGTACATGGAAGAGAATGATCTCTCGTATAAATAACCAAAAAATGAAAAAACCGTATCTCTTAAATAAAACTTTGATCTCTCTCATATATGATTAGAAAATAAATATTCAACAAAGTTGTTTTTTCTGTTGTTTGTTTTTGTTTTTATCTTAAGTGTACTCTGCACAAGAGTACAATAGCCGCAATAACTTCATTACTGTATTATACTGATTATCCTGCAAACGATCATATAAAATCGACGTTACGAAGTTAAAACGAACGGACGAATAGCGAGCGAGCGAGCGACAGTTCGAGGAAATGATTAAAACGCGCGTACACAAGTGACCACGAGATATAGATGATTATAATAATGCGGTAACTCTGACGCGATTTCGATTGAAAAAAAAGGGGACAAGGAGAGTTTGACGACAAAATCAACCCTAACTTCGTGGCGGCTCGCCGCTAACTGAGCCGCCGTTCTCGCGCGATGCACGTCCGAACTGTTCGGAGTCCCTCTCTCGCACTAAACCCTCCCCACCCCGTTTTCCCCACTATCTATTCCTCTCTCTTTCTGTCACATTCGCTCGCTCGCTCGTTCCTGCGTTCGTTCTCTCTTTCTTACACACACGTAGAGACAGACGGTCGTTCGAACTCCGTTCTTCGGTACTCCTCGTCGACCACCCTACTCGTCCAATCCAACTACGTGCTCACTCCCCACCACTAGAGAACGCGTTCGTGGATCCTCCGGATCCAGAAGGATGCTGCGTGGTAGCGCACGCAGCAGCAGAAACCTGCGGAAACGGACTTGCGGACGGATGGATCGGATCGCCGCCTGCGGGGTGGATACGAAGAGAACAGAGACGGTAAGAAGGGTAGGATGGTGGAAAGGGAGGAGGTTCAGAGTAGGACGGACTGATTTCACCCATATGTATATATTCTACAATACATATTATCGCGTGTATCCCCCGTTATACCCGCGATTGGTAGATTATTACCTATTTCATTGGCTTTCTCCTTTTTTTTTTTTATTTCATTTTATTTTTTTATATGCCTTTGTGTGCAGTATATATATATTTATCGGCTTTACGAACAGTTTGTCCTTTGTTTTTTACCGATAATATGATCCTTTTTGTTTATATGACAATTAAACGATGTCTCTTTTATTTTTTTTTTAATCGATCTAATTATCATTACAACGATAGAGTGATTTGTATTCTAAACGTATGGTGGTTTGACCCAATAAAAAACAAGGAGGGGAATTTATATAAAAATATAAACTAATAGTATAAAATGGCGTATATATATAATATAAAATTGAGAGAAAACTTAGGTAACGAGGTAGGCGTAAGAGTCACGCGATCTCCCTTCGACGCGATGGACCAGATTCTCTTGGGTCTTGACAGCTTGAAATTTAACGTCTTGAAATTATAAGTTGCTGCTGCTGCTGGCTGGCTGGCTGCTGTTGCACACGGGCGAGGAACCGAACAGAGAGAGAAAAAAAAAAATTCTTACGGATTTATTTGGCCGAGCGATTATTTCGAACCGTCCGTACGTCCGTCCGTCCTTCTTGGGTTCTACCACGGACAGAAATCGCAAAGACTCATCATCCTGGGGGAAGAGAAATCCACGAGAGAAAGAGAAAGAGAGAAACCAACGGATTTTTGTATATGTGTATGTATATATATCCGGAACCCTTCAACGTGCGGCATTCGTTAATCGAATTAATATAATCTTGGTGAGTTGCGAACCGGACACGCGCGCCCGTGATGACGGTCCCTGACTTTGGGCTTTTCGGCTTAGCCACTACTTCCTTCTTCTTCTTCTTTTTCTTTTTTTTTAATCTTTTTTTCCTTCTTATTTCTTATTATTTTTTCTTCCGTTATATTTTTGCCGCTTTGTAACTTTGAAAGTTAACGCGCGTGTCCTCGCCGTATCCATCCCTTTTTTTACACACCCCTCCCCTGAATTTTTGTTTCCTCTTTCTCTCTCTTTCTTTCTCATCGGAAGTATTTACTTTGAACGAATTTCTTACTTCGTTAGAATCGACAACAATGAGAGGAAACAATTATAATCGGTTGAATGAATTTATCAAGGATTTTATTGGGATATTTTCTTTATATAGTTGAAAGAGGGAACGATGATGTGATCTAACCGATTATTATTAACTGCGTAAGGTAGAATAATAATAATCGTGACTTCGGGTTTTGGGGATCGATGATTCTTTTCGGTGGAGCAGAGAGGGTTGGGGGAGAGGGCGGGAGGAGGGATTAACGCCCGTCGGCCATTAAAATTGATCGTGTCTGATTGTGAAATAAAAGTAAAAAAAAAAAAAAAAAGGGAAGACGAGAATTCGATCCGATCCGATCTCGTGCGTGATTCTTTTAAAATAAAGAAAATAAAAGAAAAGGAAAAAATATATAATAACATAATAATGATAATAATAGTAGTAGTAGTAATACGAAAAACGAAGGAAAGAGAAGATTCTGATCAAATAATTTATTAAACGTTCGCCATTTCATGGTATTTTACAATGTTACAAGAGACAACGACGAGCAAGTATCATCATCCTTCGTCGTTTCGCGAATTCTTTTTATGCGCTTGTTTGCTTGCTTGCTTGCTTGGTCGCGAAAGTTTTTACGTCGAGGTTTTTTGTCTTTTCTTTTTTTCTTTTTTTTAATATCCGTGAAAAACACATTGCGGTTTTACTAAAAAGAATCGCAACGAGACGAAAGCGGGGCGACTTTTTTTTTATTTTCCATTATTTTCTTTCTTTTTTTGTTTATCTTTCTATTTATCGTTTTGTCTCTTTTTCCTGTTTCTTTTTCTTTTTTTTTTTTTTTTTTTTTTTTTTTTTTTTTTTTTTTATTATTTGTTTGTTCTTCTTTTCCTTTCTTCCTATTATAACTTTTCGTCTATTCTTTCGCGAGTGAGATCAAATCAATCGATCTCGAATCCTAGAAAAATCATCACGATACGAATTTCGCTCGTTGATATACATATATATATATATATATAGATATATATATATATATATTATCATTATCATATAATTATTATTAAATAATATTATTATTTATTTTATTTATTTTATTTATTTATTTATTTATTTAATTATTATTATTATTGTTATTATTATTATAAGTACATATGTATATACGCGCGTGGGTGTTGTGTGTTATACATATATAAATATAATTTATTAAAATGACACGCTCTCGTGTCCGTTGCGATTCGCGCTATTATTCCTTTTCTCACGCATTTTTTCTCTTTCTCTATTATTATTATCATCATCATCATCATCATCGTCATCATCGTCATCATCATCATCTTTTTCTCTATCTTCCTGTTTAATTCTTTATATTCCTTTTCTTTTCTTTTTCTTTTTCCTTTTTTTTTTTCTTTTTTTTTTTTGGTTTTTTATTTTAATTCTTTGTCTCACTACGAAGCTTACATTACGCCTAAAAAGTTAATAATATAGTATTTGTACGAAATACCGTTGAAAGTAACATGTGACACCTCCTCGAGGAAGCTCTCAGTGGCATTGAAACGATCGGTCGGTTTTGTTAAGAGGAGAGAAAATTTGTTCGGAGGACTCTCTGTTCGCGACGCGTGTAATATTGTATGTGTTTTATCAAGTTAATGTCAATTTTTTGTCTGCTTTTTTTTCCTTTTCTTTTTTTTCAATTTTATTGTATATCTGTCGTCCTGTATATATTATTACCGCTCTCTTATTAATTCCCTTTCTCATTTTATATCCATTTATTATATTAATTAAATTTATTACTTCACAATCATCAAACTCAACACTCGCCCAATGGGTGGTAGTAGTATCAATGAAAACATTTTAATCTTTCTCTTTTATATGTATACTATTCTATTATTTTGTTTTACGTAAAAAGAGATGGTCTGCGCGCAGGATGGAATTAAAATTTTCTCAACATATAAGTATTTTATATTTTATATTTCTCAACAAAATTTCATATCTATATAGATAAAATTCAAAATAAGAATTAAGAGAAAGAGAAAGAGAGAGAATGAGAGAGATAAATGATATGCAAATTTTTGATCATTCAAAAACAAACAAGATGAATCTTACGTACCTTATTTTATTAATTAGTTGAAAAAAAGAAAAAAAGAAATAATTTCTATTATTTTTATTTCCATCCTGCAGAGAATCTCAAAATTTGTCCTAAACGTTATGCACAACGGAAACGATTAATTTCTCTCGAATTGTCATCATCATCATTGTCGTCATCATCAACATCATCGTCATATGATCGTCCATCAAGAATTAAAACGCATCGTTTCCATCGGTGATTACGCTAATTATAAATACTTCTAATCGTCTCTTAAAAATCATCGATCGTATCGCATTGATGATATTAATCAAAACGAACATGATCACAGAGACAGATACATATTTTTTTTAATGTTTGTTTTGTTTTGTTCTCATTTACTTTTTATTTCGGGGTTCGAAGCGCATTGATCTAAAACAGATCGTAGGGAAATTTTTTCTTCATAGAAGGCAGACTCACGTTTTCTTTATTTTTTCTTTGTTTGTTTTTCAAGTATGGCCGATGGTGTGTAATATTGTAACAACAGGCGGACAATAATAGAAGCCTGATAATATCTGTAAAATTTGTATTCAATGTGTTTGTATAAGTATTTTTGTGTATGTTTTACGTGTATTTATGGTTTTTTTTTTCTTTTTTATTAGCAGTGATAAAATTGCTAGGAACGTGCCCCCATTTCGGGGCACTTGTTTTTTTTTTTATATTTGTTTCTTTATTACTTTTTCTTATTTTTTTTTCTTTCTTTTTTTCTTTTTTAATCGTAATCGTTTGCTTGTTCCCTGACATCCACTGAAGTATCACGTATTGTTATGTACTGTATGTACTTATATATTTACTCATACATACGTACAAATTGTTCATAAGTTTTATTATGTGTATTATTCGCGTAATTTTTCGTGTAATTTTGTTGCGCGTATCTCCCGTTGCATATGCATTTTTTAATGTTTACTTTTTTTTCATTGTTATCTTTTTCTTTCATTTCTATTTTTTTTTTTTTTTTCATACGACACTATATCCATATTTCCCTTTCTGCCAAATGTTATCTTTACTTTTCCCTATCATCCCTTTCGTGTCATTCTAACTCATCTTTAATCCCATCGCTGATCATATACATTTATATATATATATATATATACCTTTTTTATTCTAATATATATATATATATATATAATTTTATATATTTTTATATAATTTTATATTTATTTATATATATATACTGTTCATATACCTTTATCTTAGTTTTCGTGTAGAAATAATAACTCTTATTTTCTTCTCTTCCCTTTTCTTTCCCTCTTTCTCTCTTTCTTTCTTTCTTTCTTTTATTTTTGTTTTATTGTATTTTTATACTTCTCACAGAAATTTGCTATCCAGTTTGCCGTTACGCTTTTTTCGTTCGTATAACATGTAATTAATATATTCTAATAGTCCGAAAATTAAGATTTTTCTTACTCATTATTACTCAACTATTACATACGATACTTTTTTCTTGAAAAAAACATTGTTATCCAATACGATTTTTTATCATTATTTGAAAATTATTAATATTTAAATAAAAATAGCAACCGTTCCATAGCCCTCGAGTTCGAAGGGTTAATTTGTCCCCCCCATACTCCCTCAAGAAACAAATTTTGAAAATTATTTTCTGTCAAAATCCCGATAGATTAAAAATTTCGAATTATTTAGAATAAAAAGAAAGTGTTTTGAACCAAGCGTTGAAATGTTTAATTTTGTTTTCTTTTATTTTCTTTTCTTTTCTTTCCTTTGCGCGAACGAAGCAACAAACTGGTCGGTAACGTTCGATAAAAATTTCATCGGTTTTATTGTTCGTAAAATTGCTCTTGTGTATTTTGATTAAAGCGAATGCAAGGATTCCGGTTGCCTCACACGTGTTCAATTTTTATTTCCTAACACCCCACCCCACCCCGCTTCGCCCTCAAGACTCGTACGTACGTTTTTTTTCTTTCATTCACATTCTCTCATTCGCAATCTCATTTTCATTCTTTCTCACTTTTAATCTTCTTTTCTTCTTCTTCTTCTTCTTCTTCTTCTTCTTATAGAAAATGACGCTTTACGATGGAAATTCGGATGCAATGATGCGGAATTAACGGAGGATATGCATTTTTGTGCAATGTTCCCATGTAAACCATATATTTACTTACATACACGCATACATATATGCATGTAATAATATTATTTTCTCTCTCTCTCTCTCTCTCTCTTTCTCTTTCTCTCTCTTTCTTACTTTTTCTGCGTTTTCTATGTTCACCACGATCGCAATAATTTTTGTTTTTGTCTTTCATTCATTCTCTGTCATCCACCCACGCATTCCATTTCTTTTCATTTTTTCCTTATATAGTACTAATTAACCAAAGGACAACGTACCACAAATTTCTGACACTAGTAAACGCGAATTAATAATAAATATATATTTACAAACCAAACGATCTCTCTATCTACGATCGTTACCAATGTATCTCCGATTTAAAAAAATCAATCGTTAAATTATTTTAACGAGTGTTTTATAATATATAATCCTTTGTCCGTTTGTAAAATCCTATCAACGAGTCTCTCTCTTTCTTTCTTTCTCACTTTCTCTCGCTCACTCACTCTCCCTCTCTCTCTTTATCTTAAAGAGTTAACAATAAAAAAAAAAGTCAAGGAAATTAAAGAGCAAAAAAAAAAAGAAAAAATTGAAAAAGTACTAGAAAATATGAGTAAAAGAAAAAAATAGAAAAAATCGGATAAAAAGAATTTATCTTAAAAGTAATTTATAAAATAATGCATTAGTGTGTATGTAAAGATGTAAAAATCTTGGAAGTATACAACGGCGTAGCGCGATTTCTCGACGATCGTAATTTAATGATTTTCATTTTCTTTGGATACTTCTTTTGTTATTACTTATCTAATTACGTATCTAAGGTCACCACACCTATTATCCCTTCTTCCATTACTCTTTTTCTTCTAACGTCGAATAACGATCGTCGAGATTTCGCATCGGTCTCTGGATCGTTTGTGTATTTCGCAAAAAATTTATCATTAGTACCGCATAAATTAATAAATATATAAACTTCATATATATATTGGCGCGTGATTACGTGTGTGTGTGTGTGTATGTATATATATATATATATATATACATCAAATAATCATGATCTAAGAGAATTTTTTTTTCGTATGCGCGTATTTTGGTATTTTGAGGAAAAAGGGGGTTGTTCTCATCATTTTTTTTGTGTTCTTTTCAAACATATATATCTATACCTTATCCATTTTTGTATTTTCCATTTTCTACCATTTTTTCTTTTTCTGATTATCGTTGTCTTTCTCTCTCTCTCTCTCTCTCTCTCTTTTTTTTTTTTTTTTTTTTTTT